AATCAGAAAAAAATATTTCCACACAGAAAGCCTGTCCGAACAGATATAACAGTGGTTTGATACAAGCCAAAGCCGAATTAAACCACATAATAATTTCGATAAACGCTTTAGTGAATCGAACGTGTCATAATGAGAGAATTATACAGTTTTTAATGAAACAATAATTAAGTATTTTGGTGGAGTACCATTAAGTGAATGATTGTTGATAAATTTCATACATACATATCTGTAATAAAAGCTTGTACCTAATTATAGCTCCATTCACTACTTACATGGAAACATAATAATTTCCGTCCCATATTACATTGCTACGTTTATTTTAGTAGTCATTATTTATCAAATATTATATTAAAATATTAATTTTTGATTTCGCGTATGGAAATTTCATAGAAATAGTCTAAACCTATATAATTTATCATATTATCATTAGTAATGTTCGTATATTATCTTAGCTAAATCCAAATGCCGTTCATTAGATATGTAGTTATAACAGTAACTAAATGGACATTCAATCAGATGAACCAGAGTGTGTGACACTTGCTCGTCTTAATTTAAAACACGTGACCTCAAAACGACACGAGGGAATATAATACAGAAACATAATCTCACTGCAGTTCAAGCTTCAACTGGAAAAACATTAATAATAATTAGTTAATGACGTAGATATTAAACTTTCGGCAGTGATGACCTAGTGGTTAAAAGGCCCACCTCTCGTGTACGAGGGCGCGGGTTCAATTCTGGCCCTGGCAAGTACCATTGTGATTTTTTCGAGTCATATGTACTTTCTAAGAGTATTTAGAAATTACTGATTAATGCATTCCCAAAGAGGGTTGATGTCAGGCAGGCGGCCGATCGTAAAAACAATCAGCCAAAACTATTCACAACATGTAAGGCAGACCCTGGCTAAAGCTGGGAAATTGCCAGGTAGAAGAAGTAGATATTAAACTTTTAAGAAAATCTTTTCACATATGGTACATCTAAAAAAAATTAAAAAAAAAATACAAATAAATGATGAAAAAAATCCTTACATTACATTATTCATTTACATCTATATAAAAATTATTTTCTATAGATATATATAACATTATAATCATGACGTGAACATGTTAATTAAATGAACGGTAATAACTATACAATTGTTATGTATTGTGCTATTTTTTATCAATTAAAATCTTAAGTATCCTAGTATTATCTTTTTCTAATACGATCGTAACCTATTGACTGGAATTATCATGTATATTGTTACCATTTTTATGTACACGTATGAAAACTTAAGGATTCATTGCAGTTATATATGTACATGTTATAAATTATCTTCTTGACTGAGACGATCAATTAATTATTATAATATGACCACAACATTGTTACAATTATGTGTCAATTAATTTAAATATTTGAATCCAACAAAAGAATTGTATATTGTTTTTAAGGTTTAATTTTTTGTAGAAAATACCGCATTTATAAAATATAAATATATAAATTCTTTCATACCTTAAAATTGATTTGTAAGTGTTAGTATAATCTTCTATATATATAAAAATGGATTGCTGTTCCTTAGTCTCGCTAAAACTCGAGAACGGCTGAACCGATTTGGCTATTTTTAGTTTTGAAATACTCCTGGAAGTCCAGGGAAGGTTTAAAAGGTGAGAAAAATGGGAATAATTGCCGGAAAATCCTAAAAACAGCCCTTTTCTATTTCCCATACAAACGTTTTTTTTGACATTCGATTTGACAACTAACTAATATGTCAATCATTCTGTTTGATTGAAACAGGAAAAACCTGATTATTTATGGCCTCTAAGACGGAATAGAGTTCGCCTGGTCAGCTGTACCTACATATATTACTCTTGACCAAACTAACGCGGACGAAGTCGCGGGCAAAAACTAGTTTATAAATAAAAATAAGGGCATACATACAATTAAACTTTATTTTTATTTATGTAACGTTTAAAATAATTTAGCCTGTTTTATAATAACACTCGTAAAGACGAGAAACTAGTGGAGACTAATAACTCGTTCAAAACTAGAAATCTTAAGAAATATTGCAATTTATGAAGTGAAGAAAAAAAAATATTGAAAATACATTTTAAAACATCACCCAATGGAGTCTTATAATGTTACGACAAAAAGAATTTAGGGAAAAAAAATCCTATTCTTTGTAGCACTTACAATTTGAGTGTCTTCGAGGCACGAGTGAAAAGGCTCTTGCTGGATTACGTTTACCACCTTCGGCGTTTTTCATCCTACCATCTGGTGGAATGATAGTCAAGTGCTATTCACACAGTTTAAATAATGGAAGATACAGTAATAGTTAAAAATCAATGTTTTATAGTTTGTTTGTTCCAATTTACCTCAAGAACAAATGCGGTATACATTTTCTTAGATTAATTTTATTTGAGGATGCTAAGTTCAATAACAAAGATTTATAGTGATCTGACTTATATTAATCGTCATTATGAATCAACCAGGATATTTGTTTCAGAATGATCATTAGCTATCAGGAAATAGTTATGTGTTATAGAAAATAACAACAAATGAAGATTTTCAAGAATTTATAATATTCATAAACAAAATATATTTGGTACGCCCGATTTAGAGTCGGTGAAAATGTGTCAGGAACTCTTTACGCTTTTTCTTTAAAAAAAATACTACAACAATTATCAAAATTAAAAGAGTGTTTAATGAATAACTAATGTGTATTTTTTTTAATTAGATCCAGAATTAAAAGCGTAATAGGTACATGCTTGAAATAATTCCCATATTAAATCAAAAGAAAATATTTAAAAAAATACTACTAAATCAAAAACAGATAAATTTTTTAACTAACGTAATAAATATTAAATGTAATAAAAAGTACAACTTCTTTTATTTAGAAGCGTTCATATACATAAGTATTTATTTAAACCATATCTATATATAATTAGTCAATTAGAATTCAAAATACATCCCTAGTATTCGAAAAACACATTTTAACAAAACAATACATTGGCCAAATATTAGTAACATGTGTGAATTTTCTTAAGTAATCTTTATTTACTTATACTGAGCTACTCGTATATCTTTCATCGCTACAAGCATATCGCGTAACAACTAACATTCAATCTATTGTGATTTATGATTTAGGTACGAGTATATAAAAAAATTATGACCGGAATAAACAAAATCTCCGATAAGGCTACACGAATTTAATATATAATTTCAATAAAATCAAGTAATATAATAAAATTGTCCTAATAAAAGTGTAAATCGTATTATTGATGAATACAAATGAATAAGCAAAAGTTATACCCATGCTACAAGATTGCATTTTATGATTTTAATACAAAATCTAAACATGATACTTTATGTAATACGTTTTTTGTGTAAAGTTATGTCTACCAAATGTCCTGAAATCTTCATAATCAAACAGTAATAACCCTTTAAAAATAAGACATTAATTTCTTTAACATTTTTAATCAAAATTTTTGAAAACAAATTAATTTCATTTGTAACAATCTATTATAGTGAAAAAACCGTTAACTATGCAAAGGACGAACTACGAGCATTTCCAGAACAAATTTTATATCGCCTGGGTATCGGCCTATTTACTATAGTAACAAGCCGATGTATTATTGCTATTAAAATCAGTATCCTTACCCCTAGTGTACATCGTGATAACATACGAAGCGTTAACAATTTTTCATTCATAAATCTTCGCACATAACACTATTAATATTATTGGAATTGAAACTACTTATGCAACTTCCAGAAAGGTTGCGTTAAACGTAAATTTTTAAAAAGTATTATTTTCTTTAAATGTTTTTAACAGACATATGATATTATGTACTACATATTAGCCTTAGCCGCTTTTCTTATCGATTTTGAGAAAAATTAAACTGGTTCATCTAATATTCAATATATGTAAAAAAAAAAGTAAGTGAAGATAATATACAAAAGGTTTGATAGCTTAAAAGAATATTTTAAAATCATAGTCAAGTCGAGTTTAAAAGTCAGCCTGTTTTGAACGAATATTTAAAAGCATCGTCTTTTCATTTTAAGACACCTCAATTCTATTACTATACAGTGTAAACTCTATATAACGACACTGAAGGGACCGTGCATTTTAGTGCGTTATAGAGAGTTGCCGTTAAATAGAGGGAAGAAAAATCAGAATTAGAAAAAGACAAAGTTTATTTCAGACTACTGTTAGTACTTATGTACATAAAAAAGAATGTTATAAAGTCTGTTGTTTTTGTTTGACGTGTTTTGCTGCACCAGTAATGTTGTTGTATTTTTTAAATTTTATTCAATTCTTGCGATATTGAGGCATATTGGTGAAGAACGAATTTCTTAGAAAGTTTGGTATGCATGATTACGACAGTGGAGTTTATTGCGGGCTAGGATAACAAAGCGACAAAAAAACGTACACAGCTGCGCATTTTTTTACTAATTTTAGCAACTTAAAGGGTACTTTTTATTACTTAATTTTGTCGTTATTAAGAGTGGCTGTGACGCTATATAGAGTGTATCATTGTATGGTAGACAAGCTAAACCAACCAAAGTCAAATGATTTCGACGCTTTAGAGAGTTTGTCGTTAAATCGAGTGTCGTTATATGGAGTGTACACTGTATATAATTCTGATAACTTTTTCTTTAGGAAAATAATTTCCTCATTTATTTATCAAATGTGAAATTACTTCATAACGCCAATATTTTCATAAAAAAATTACGATGCGTTCGAAGAAATGGTTTATATTAATTGAATAGTATTCTTTTTGTTACATCATACTTTATAAAAAATAGGATAATTGATATTAAAAACTATAATAAAACTATATAAAACTATACAGTGACGACCCAGCGACTGCACGTAACATTTCTCGTTAAATCTTTCACATCATGAGATGTAATGATCTGTGTCTATTAATAAGATCATTAAGTACGTTTAATGGAGTCAGGATAATGTTTTATAAACGTGTACCAGATGAGAGTCATCTGCTATGTATTTGTTTATTTATAAGTCAAGGTCGGATGTGGCTGTACACATCAGCGCGACCTTTCTTGCCCTTCACACTTTCAAGTTTCAGAATAGCTTTCAACTTATCGGCATATGATTCTTCTGTTTTATAGTTGCAACGTTTGTCGCAAAAATGTCTATATGTTAAACAAAGTACATATGTTTGAAAATCAAAGAGCATGCGAATTAAACCCAAAGATAGATTCATTTTACTAAGTAATTTCTCACGAAAATCGTATTAACATCAGTGAGTTTTTTTTTTGTTTTTGTATATGGAAAGAAAATGTTGTAGGAATAAAAAACTTTTTTAAACAAATAAGTGGAAGAATATTAACAATAGATCAGTTACAATAAAATAAAATTTGTTAAACTTTAACACGATAGTTAAAATTTTATGTACAAATTCTTAGACACATTTATAAATAATTTATAGATTATTATAATTATTTATATTAAAACGTATAAGCGAACGATGAATTGAGAGATTATTTGAGAAAATTAACCTAAACAATTACAATTTTCACCTCTTATTTACAATATCTTTGGCTGTCACGAAGGTTTTTTCTCTACAAAATAATATTTTGTTCAATATTATTATCATTTTAGGTGAATTAAGTAAACAAGTCTGTAAAAAATTAAAGCGCAATATCTTTCTATGAAATACATATATTCATAAATAACGTTGTTTATGTTATGTATTCAGTAGCCGACAACGACTTGATCACTATTTGGATGTGATTTGCGGAAATTAAATTATTGCAATCATACATAGTTACAGGAATGTCCGAAGAAATTATAGGAAAAAATATATAAACATACTCTTAATCTTAAAACCATTATGCCAATTTTATTTCGACATTAGAACGAGTCGCTTCTAGGAAAGCATTGATCAAAGAGTTTCAATTCGTGGTACACCTAATTTTTTATTAAAATACATCAGATGATTGAAGGTTAAACTTCATGAGAACAACGACAGCTGTTTAAGAAAACATAGTTATCTTGATAGGTTTACTCGTTGGCACTATACAATCACTGTAAACTGTTCTAGTAACGAGATAACTGGCGTGATTTGACGTGACACTGCTAAGGTAATTAATATCAGTGCGCTCAGCACTAATAGGTAAGTATAAGACACTTCAGCCTCCAGAGTAAATTAGTTAATTTGACAGGTGAAGAACTTTGTTACTATTAGTCCACAGAATAAAACGATTGCTGCAAAGTAACCGAAAGGTATGTATATGTAGTTTAAGAAAAAAAAATGCGTAGTACATCCGAAACATACGATAGAGTATTTGATAATGGGGATTCTGACAATGCCATTTTCTGATGCATTCAGGGCGGCAGTATTGGAGATATATCGAGTTATACTCGAGTGAAAAAAGAATAATAATAATAATTAATAGATTAATAAATAAATCAAAAGCACAACAACAGACTCCTGTAAACCATAGCATGCTTAATAAATGTACAGTTTGGGTTTAAAATCTTGTACAGTACTTGTAACCAAATGTACCAGAATATTATAAGGGTCAACACTATCAGTATATTTTTTATCTCATCCATCTATGTACAAGGTAAACAACTTTTGCGTCTTTTCCTTTCCTAGTACGTTGACCTCTTGACAGATTTAATTCATAGTCGAGTTAGGATCCTATATGTACCAGATACCATTTAAAAAAAATTAAATTGCCTAACAAACTCTTGAGTCGAAAATGTATAGACATTTAATTGAAATCCTGTTTAAAATTTTAGTGGAAATTTCATTATATCTGAAAATATGTTGAACCATAAACAATCCTTTGACTGTTGAATTTATATTCCAATATAATAATATCGGAATTTAAATATATATTATAAAAGCATACATAATGAAACATTATATAATATACAAGATTTTTTAATTACTATTCCTTACTTTATTACGTCCATGTATTTCTTTAAAAATGGTGGAATGTATGTTTTCATACGATTTAAATCAAAGCATAGTGGAAAAGAATAGTAACTAGAAGTAACTATACTATGTATAGGTATATCCGTAAATGTTACATTTATATACATCTCTTCAGTACAAACATTAGCCTTATATTAAGGAGCACTTGCTTTCTTTTGGCTTCACTATAATTAAATTAGATAAATTACGTACGCACGATATGACTCATCTGTATTCGACCACGAAGGACGAACACGAATAGGCACGAATACGCGTATTACATACCAAATGAAATTTTCCATGCAATTTAGAGTTTTCTTTATTTTAATACAACTGTATGTTCAGATTTGAACTCTTGGTTAAATTTTTCTTTTAATCAAAGCTTCACTTTAAGAAATGTATATAAATTTCTATCGATAGAAACGAACTGATATACTTATTAAAGAAATAATAAACGGCGAAAGTTTTGAAATATTATTGACTGACTATTTATATGACTATTCATTAACCTATGCGTTAGTACTCTAACATATGGTCAAAACAAGTAAGTCTGATTTGAAATCAGAATTTTTTTTCATACTAAAGGCGACAACCGAGCTGACATCGCTCGTGGTCATCTGCAACATAGAATTATTGAAGGAACTGTCTTTGAGATATTTTTTAATAAATAAGACACCATCAAGCCCGTTGATATTTATCATTTAAGTAAGTAATATAGCAAAATTCTACTAAAACGATAAATTAATTATAAAATTGGAAAATATCACAGTTATTATTTTTATTCAAGATTATACAGGGTGACTGGTGAATTACTATCGATATTTGAGGACGTGATATTTGACGATAATATATGACAAAATAAAAATTAATATAACATAAATATTAATAATCTTCTAAGTAAAGTTAACCAAAAGTTATGTAATTAATTACGCATCGTATGAACACCCTACAGATTAGGTATACACACACACTCACACAGACGCGGCGGCGGCGTAGTGTTGTGTCAGCACGCCGCCGCACGCGCCCACACTTGGATCACTTGGAACGTGTACACACTTTATTTATTTACACGGAAATTTGGTCAAAAATTAAGTACCTATTTTTTTTACATAATTCGAATGAGAATCATGTACCGAGTATGCTCCTTAAATATTGATAGTAATTCACCAGTCACCCTGTATAATCTCGTTTACTTGGTTATACGATTTATATTTTATATAAAAGTGGTTTGCATGTTACTGACACAATAGATTTCCAACTAAAGTAAAAACTCTTAATAGAAAAAAGTAAATATAGAAAATTTAGCCACGGAAAAAAACATTTCTTTTCAAGTAAGCGTTTATTAGTTATATTTTATAAACTACAGTGAAAAAATTTTATCGAGAAAACAATTATATAGAATTTAAACGATTTGGTACTTTCTGGTTCGATACGACATTTTCTCTAAACTATCTGACTTTGAATGATTATGCGTCATTTTCTATTGATCAACAATGTCTTTAAAACCAATGATTAACACAGAAAATAGCAACAGTTATCAGAAACGTGATTGAATTGTCTACAAGATCCGGTAACATTGGACGGGTGACTAATTGATATCTCGAGTAAAATGGCTACTTTATATGTAAAAACGAAAAAATTAAAACCTTTGAAATATTCAGTCTATAGGTTCTTTTATATTACTTTATGCTACTACTACTGACGATTCGATATATTGATAGTATTGAAACCCCGCTCTCAGCAAGTTTCCCTGCAACTAGTGAATTAAATCATCTTGTTTAAGAGACATACTTCGAGAATGTGCAAATCTTTAGGGTAGCTTTATAATTTAATACGATAGCTTGATCTTCAATAACCAATGCAAAACATAAGAAAATTCACTTACTATTTATTACTATTAACTTAATTTATTTTAAATAAAAATTAAGAAAGCTATTGATTCAATAATTAAATTGGTTTTACATACCGTGTTAAACAGAAGAAACTCATGAGTATATCTTCTCTCACATATTTTTAATAGATAAATCACATACACATCACAGACCAAACTAGTAAAACGAAAAAAAGGACCAAAAAGTCGTAAGCGTAATGTAAATCATCAGAAATATTCCATGATACTGAACATACACTTTCATTTAACGATTATATGAAAAACTGACATTCGAGACTATTATTTTTAGATTAAAACAATTATAGATTTTAGATAACGTTTATCGGGTATGATATGATTTCACCTTACGTTAAAGATATTTGGAAATTGCAATGATTTGTAATCGTAAAGAACATTATCGAATTTGTCAAATAAGAATGACTGCTGTTTTATTTAAAGCACTAGATTTTGCCCGCGACTTCGTCCGCGTTAATTTCGTCATTAGTAATATATGTATAGCTGTCCGGGCGAATTCTATTCCATCTTAAATAACCAGGTATTGGTATTTATTAAATTTTTCCTGTTTCAATCAAACAGAATGATTGACATATTAGTTAGTTGTCAAATCTAATGTCAAAAAAAACGTTTGTATGGGAAATAGAAAAGGGCTGTTTTTAGGGTTTTCCCGGCAATTATTCCAATTTTTCTCACCTTTTAAACTTTCCCTGGACTTCCAGGAGTATTTCAAGACTAAAATTAGCCAAATCGGTTCAGCCGTTCTTGAGTTTTAGCGAGACTAAGGAACAGCAATCCATTTTTATATATATAGAAGAAGAAGATAATCTAAAACAGATTTAAAAGCTATTATCGATTAACAGTTTATTGAAACAGGATTTTCGTTAGCCTGTTGCATTAATATATTATAATTAATGTAACACACGTGCTGAAACACTTTAAATTTACATAAACATATCGGTATCCAAATCTCCCGAATTAGTTGTATGACGTAAACGCATTGGATGCATATCAGCCCGAGGATTCTGCATCTCCTGTTATGCTTATTGAACGGATGCTCTGCTGAACGTCATCTCGAGAGGTGTCAGGTGGCGCCGCTGGCAATCATTCAATTGCCTGACCTCTATTGCACTGGTGCAGGCTTCAATTAAAGGATATAAGTCTTAATAGGATACGCATTAAACCCAGCATTTGAGAGTTCATCACGCAAGTGCATTGCGGAAGATTCAAGGACTTCACCGACTGCACAGAGGTGGGTGTTGTCTTTTCGTGGCGTATTCGTGCTTGTATTCATTTATAGTAAGTACTCGTATACTAAATAAGAGTCACGTCAAACTGGGAGCTGAGTTTCTATTTATTTAATTATTAGTTACAAAAGCGTTATATGATTATCGATAACAATTTACCTCTTTACTTTTTATATATAAAACATTAATGTCATATCAATCCCAATAATAGGGACTTATGAAAGACTTCGATCGATAAGATTATTTCTTCACAAATTTAACTTAAACAAAAAATATTTGCCATCGCAAAAGTTATTGTGATTCTAGAAAAATAAAGACTTTGAACGTGCAAATGTTTTAAATTGCTGTAAAATGCGTATTAAAATGGTGATATCTTATCAATGTACATCACTGACAAACACCTTGAGATGATGTGACACAGAACGGGGGCTCGTTGCTTATCAGTTATATACAGGATGATGAAATTAAATATTCAAGACGACATTTTCACTTAAACTTATCAATCTATAGTTATTACAATTCGACTAAGCCGATTGAAGTAACTTCTCAAATAGACCTGTAAATTAAAGTATAGACAACTTCAATATGTAATACAGTTATAATCAATGTTTCGTACATCAACCTGTATAATTCAATTAGCTGGTTGATTTATAAACAAAATCCAATATTTAGAGATCAATCAAGATAAGAGATTCCTTTGCAAAAATAACAATAACCTAGTAAAAATATTTTCTTATGCTACAGTCACTGACTGATAGTTTATTTTTTTCTCAAATTATATCCAAATATTAGTTTAAAAAGTTATTAAAAAAGCAGATTTTTACATGACAATCTTAAAATGATATTATTATGAACATCATTATTTCGTTGAATTGATTATTCTGATATATTTTCATGAAAGAATTTTGTCATACTAAATATATGCATAGTAAAATTTGAAGGTACATATAAGATATGTTTTTTTCTCTGAGAAAACCACAGCATATTTTTCACAATTTGAGACATTTAGTATATGAACAGATTGATGTTATCAATTTTTTCTTCTAAAATTATATCAAACATTAAATCAAAACAGATATATGTGATTATCGACAAGTAACAAAATTTTGCCTGAATATTAAGAAATGTATTTTTTTAACGTTTCATTCAGTACTGTGTACTACCATAATATTTATACTATTCTGTACTAATAAGAGTCTATAGATGGTTGCATAATAATATTGTATGTACCTATGTATGTTTATCAGAATGACGCAGTTAATGTTAAGTCATCATCAAATAGACTCACAAAAAAATTTAAACTATAATATATACACGTTTAAAGAAAAAAAAAATTGTATAATAATATGATAAACAAATATACATTTTTTTATTTCCTTTAACACTTACGTTATAAATGAGGAAAATTGTACGAGTCTGTTTTTTATTCAATTTTGAATTTTCCTGAACTGTTTTTATAAAATTTCTTACTTATAATTTCCTTACATCCAAATAAAAAAGCTCGGACCAAAAACTAGGGATTACTTTTAAGACCATTTTAACTTGCAACTTTTCAGCCGGAATATTCCTTTGAAGTGATTAAATTAGCTTATGCAGCTTCAGCTTAATTCACAGAGCTTGAATCATAATAACGTATTACCGAGCTTGTCAGCTGATGTTAATTCTCAGTAAAACTACGAATAACACAAATCCATCAAGCATATTAAGATAACCGTAACGATTATGTCAAAGATATTTCAATTCGAGGATTTATCTTTACGATAGGATACGTAGAGCTAATAGGAGAAAAAAAAACAAATGACTCACGCACATGTTTACAACCAAGAGTCTAGGAACAATGAAATGTTAAACAGCATCTTAAACAATCGTATGCGACATTAATATGTAAATATGATGATATTTATATACTAATAAAATATCTTAGCGTAACGCATGTACAATACTGTATGAAAGCGATCAGTCTCGGTGGGTGTAGATCGTGTTGATGGCGAGGTACAGTGATCGTGACTCCCTTGTTACTGGACCATTGTATTTCGACCTCGACAATGGATGTCACGACGTCTTTATCCCATGACTAAACATCACCCTTTGGAGACAATTTAAAAATGGACATTCAGTATGCAATATAAGTGTACCTAGTACAAGAACCAAAAATATCACGAGTGAAGTAGGCATCAATATGAAACAGTAAAGTTTTCAGACAAAACAGCATTGATTTATTGTGAAACAATGAGAAAATATCTAATGAATGAAAATAAATTATCCTTTCATGGAGATATAAAGAAGTTTCGTCTATAATATCCTTTGTTCTGAACACAATAATCTGTTAGTTCGTTCGTAACCGTTTTGTGGTAATGATCTCAGTGTAACGATGAGTAATGTATATATATGATGAGACAATAAATACGCAACAATGATCGATCAACACTTGTGAAATATTGAGAATGATTACATATCTGACGCTCAGTCGGATGCAAGTTGCACTTTCGCAAGCCGTTTGTTCAACAGATGAAGGAGAATTACGCCATGCGAGGTAAATATATTAATTAATGCTCATTATATTATATTCACTAACAACAAGTTTTAATTGCACACTTCTTTTATAAAAAAATGTTATTCGTCAAAGAGAGACATCACAAAGGAAAAAACAATTTATTTAATTAACAAAACAATTTTATGTCATTTCATACGGCAGAAACATATTATTAAGATGAAAAACGCTGCATTTGTCGAGAGTAGGTATGCTACGTAATATTTTTTTGAAGCTCATCCCTACTAATATTATAAATGCGAAAGTAACTCTGTCTGTCTGTCTGTCTGTCTGTCTGCTACGCTTTCACGCCTAAACCACTGAACTGATTTTAATGAAATTCGGTACAGAGATAGAGTTGACCTTGAGAAAGAACATAGGATAGTTTTTATCCCAGACTTTTGAAAGGTTCTCTTGGAAACGCGATATAACCGAACTCCACGCGGCGAAGCTGCGGGCGGAAAGCTAGTTTGTGATATAAATCCGTATAACTTTGTATGATACAACATAACAATGGAGAGTGATCGCCCTCCTCTTACAATCGGAGAGACGATGGCGGTTCTAAACATTTAATATCGGCCAAGGCTGAACATGTACGGAACATGGCTCGCAACAAAGACAGCGAGCAGCGTGATAGGCGAGGCGGCTAGAACGACGGTATTAACAACAAATGGCACTGCAGCCCTAACTCCAGCCATATCCACATACCCTACTAGCCTACTTTTGGCTATATGTAGCTCTAACTGGAATGTATTATCATATTAATTGTATCCGAGAATCCAACGTCATAAGAAAGGACATAGAATTCGAACATTCTAGAAACTAACGTGGAATTTCACATGCGATTATCCATATAATCCTGTGAAATTTTCGTACGAGCAAAATGTTCACGTATTTTAATATTATGCGAAATACAAAAGCACTAGCAACATTTGCTGTGGTTAAACAATAAAATCTAGTTAGACCATTTTAGCTTAAGCGAGTGTAATGTATAGTAATTTACTTTTATGTCTGACAGCGAACCTAAAAATATTCCATCATAATTATTATCGCTTACACTGTGTAATGTCATAAAATTTGTCGTCAAAAAGTGCTAGGCACTTAATAATTTTGCACACTTTATGGCTGGGTCGTGTTTTTAATTAAAATAAATAAGGGATATCCGGTAAATGGTCCCCAGAGATATGAAAATTGCAAAGTATTTCAAAATAATTTCACATGTATTTAAAAGGATTTATGTACGTGTAAATATTTGCGTCTGTACATTCTTCTAACTCATATGACGATTTCTTGGCTCATGCTTCTACAAAAACAACAATAGTTGTTATTTCACACAACTAAAAACAATTTAAATAAAATGCAATTTGATTATATCTATAAATAAAACTTACATCAAAATGTTTACTTATCAAAGAAGAATTGAAATTGATACAAATTAATTCGCTTTTAAATTTTTTTAATACATTTCTATAGGAAATAAATATGTAGATATCACCTTATTCTAAACCCTACTGATATTATAAATGCGAAAGTAACTCTGTTTGTCTGTCTGTCTGTTACGCTTTCACGCCTAAACCACTGAACTGATTTTAATGAAATTTGGTACAGAGGTAGAGTAGAGCTTGAGAAAGAACAGGATAGTTTTTATCCCAGACTTTTGAAAGGTTCTCGTTTAAACGCGATATAATCGAAATCCACGCGGGCGAAGGTGCGGACGGAAAGCTAGTGTATAATTTATACATTACTTAAAACCGACATGTATGAAACATATGTTTTAACAATATTTAGAGTAATATATATGTCTTTTTGTATTTATATCTTTTTCAGCCTGCATATACACAGATCAAATTACGTAAACCTTTTATAACTTGATATAGAGCATCTAGTAAAAGTAGAAAATGCAAATGAGAAAGTTTAAACGTTGTATCGATTGCACACAGCACAGTTTGCTAGTTAGTTGTTTACGAGTCACATTCATTTACAGAACGATTTTTCAATTCCTTTATCGTAATAAACGTGTAACCAATAAACCGATATTTCTTTTCTTCCATTATCACAAGTAACGCGATAATGCAAAATACGCAATAATGTCACTGATATTTCATGACATGATGATAGAATTATCTCGTTACGCTTTAAAAACAATCTGGATTTGCGAAAGCTGTGTTTTAAGAACGTACAAGGTGCAATGGAAGAGACAGATTGGTGAAGAAATAAGAAAGCTTACAACTATCATGCAATATATAAACATCCAGGGCTTTCACGGTCGTGTAGAACTGGAGAACCTGCGAATACTATGATAATAAAAGAATGAGGACTCACTGCCAGTGGAATGGTCCGGTGATGCCATCTTTAAGACGGTCCTTGAGAGAGCGCTGGCGCGACGGTCCCGGGCCGGGGGGCAAAGTACCCGCGCCGGGAGGGACTGCGCCGGGGGGCGCTCGCCCGGGTGATGACATGCCAGTATTAGGAGCAGCGGCCACTATCACATCGGCTCTCACATTAATATACCACTGAATCGCCAAGCACCATTAGAACACGCTGCAACACAATAGACCACCCAAGCCACATAAATAATAAGCTAAGCGACAAAAAACAATATAAATAGAAAGCGTATACAGATAAGCATAGTTGAAGTTTGAAAAATAATGGCAGGAACTGTTTCGGTGATAATGAAAAGCGTGAATGAAAATCTGCATAATTATAATTCGCGTTTAATGAGCGTAATCCTTACAAAAAATAATAGCAAAGTTGCATGTTTGAACGTTCGGGCATTCTAACAGGCGCTTTTAAAAATATGTGGACCGGTTCTAGCATAAAAACAAATATATTAATGGCAATGTTATATTAAATCTCAGGCACACATCAGCATGACGACTATATAAAACTTTATTCAATATGCAAAACCAGTTCTTACTTTGCCGGATTAACACTCCTAATATTATTTACAGCGTTTTTTTAGATTCAAATCTTATCTGCTATGTTTTTTAATATCGATGATGTATTTCTTCTTTATAATCTCAATCTTTCGAAATTCAAACAATGATTGTAATGATAAGATAATATTATATAAAATTTCGTAACATATTCATATCTACCTACCTACTTAATTCTCTTTATTGATATTAAATTCTCATAAATCAATGAAATATATTTAAAAAAAGTCGTTTTTCTTATAGTTGACATATCATTCAGTTGTTTAATAGGAATGTTTAATGTAATTATTTACTATATTCCGTAATCAGAACAAGGTAATTATTGTATGATAAAAATAATAATTAACTACATTTCTTTATAATATTTCCTTATCGGTGACGTGAATTCCGTATGTGATATTTAATATTTTTTATATAATATCAATATTTATGCCATCATAAAATATTATACCGTTAGTAATTAATGACATACATGTCCAGTCGTAAATCACGTATCGGCATTTCGTTACGGAAATAATTATCAAAAATTGAATCTCACGTAAACTCAATATCAAAGTCTATTGAATTGAAATATTGGTCATTTCTAAACGTATTCAAAAAAGGAGGAATAGGAGCACTATATCAATTCAAAATATAACCCAGAGAATTTACTTTAAATAATCTGTTCTTAACTATTTTATTCTAATTTAAATCAAAGATATTCTGATAGTCGACACGATATAAGTTAATTTGTCTACAAAACTAACTTTGCAAATATTATAAACAAATCAATGGTTTAAAGCCGTCGAAACTCCACCCACTAACACGAACCTCGCACGTAAACAAAACAGTCGACTATAAAAAGTTATATTATTTAGTTTATTTCCACTACGCTAAATGTTATTTAGTTTAGTTAAAATTCTCTATATATATGACATATAATTTCTATAAAATTTCTTTTTGTATCCATATCTTTGATTCAGCAATATTGAAAGTGGAGTGTTTGATGATATATCTTAAAGGCCACTGGCAAATGACACGTTTTCTTTGAATTTATTTAAATCTGAATTTCATATATTTAAAATTTAATATTTTTCATAGTTATTATATGAAATATGATTCCTATCTGCCTGGAATATTACGTATTATTTAGATGTTTATTTTTGTCTGATGACATTCATGACAATGCATTAATTGTTATGTATGAAACAATAAAATTAAATGTATGTAGATATTATATTCGTATACATTTTATATCATTTAATTTTATAATCAGATATATTGTTGGGGAAGAAACATCGAATGTAAAATACACCGAAGGGAAGAGACGTATTATCCTGTTAAGTAAATCATAGGGCAGGAGCACAGTGACTTATTCGCTAGCTGAGAGGAAATGCTCATGCCATCAAGGTTATCCAGGCCACTGTACGGGATAATATCCCCCCTTTAGACCGATCCTATTGTACATTGTATAAACTTGCTCCTCTGTATTCAATACAGGCTTTAGAATTTCATGCTTGAAACGTATCAAGAAAACACTGTGATAACGTTTCAATCAAATCAACAAATCAATATACATTCAAACGAGATGCAAATGAGACACATATACAACTTATTATATTTATTGTTCTAACACAAAATTTAATGTATTCTGAAATAATATACATTAATCGTATCTGTGTAGCGACTAGCGGTGACAGTGAAGACTAATGTACATCAGAGCCAGTGAGAGCATTGTGTACCGGGCTATGGAGGCGGTCGTAAGCATTTATCGATCGGCCCTAACCTCAGCCCCCGCAGCAGTGCTTTACGTAACACCAGCTGATCGCACCCACCCCTGTAACCTTGGCAACGAGCTCTACACGCTCCCTCGCACACTCTTTTAAAAACAAATCTCGATACAACAAAACATACTACAATATATGTACATAGACATCACCAGACCTCTTGATATGTAATACGGCGCTGTCGTTTAATGAATAATAAACTTTGTACGACATAACTATGTGATCGTATACGAGACAATTTCCTGGTCTTTGTGCCAGAACAGGATATATCTTAACGACATAAACACACCTTTAGCTACACAATAATAGCGATAATTGATGACATTATTTTTAATTATTTTAAATATTGAAACAATAATATATTGAAGGGATGCAAGTAACTCTCGATTTTGCTTCGTCCTAACGAACGAAAGGGGAATAAGTAAAAAACTAAAAGCTTGAACTACATTACGGAATGTAGATACATTTTGCATTTATAAGTATCCAACAACTGAATGACTCTCGGTTGACGAAAGAACTTTAGAATCTTCTAGGTATTACATACATATCGACAATAACATAGCATATATAGGTACATACAAAAGTCAATGGGTTTATAATAAAGAATAAACGTTTCTCTTGATATATGAAATAAAAAAAATATCTATCGTAATTATTTTTATTCGTAATTAAAATTCCATCACTTTTTATAATCGAAATACACGTTTCATATAATATAGCAGATTAAAATCCTATTTGAAATCATAATGACAAACGCTCATCTACAGACTAATGTAACATATCTCAAACGGTACAGCTATATCTATATCTTTGCATTATGAACCCTAAATCGTGACAACGAAAAACACATTCAGATGATTCTAAACAATACTAAGTGATTGTTATGTAATGACAATATTCAATGATTAAACTGAACTCAAATAATAATATGATACAATGACAAGAGACATCCTCCTATGTTTAATGAGAGATGAGGTGCAGAAGCATCTAATGTGGTCCATGCATCGATGCAACGAACCAATGTGCTTTATTAGCATGGGACAGCTGACGGTGGTTATAACAGCATCTCACACACGTCCGCTCCGAGGGCTGGTAACGTGCAACTGAACTTGTGGGAAAGAGAAACGTCGGGGCCAACCCACGGGCGTACTGTGGAGTGTAGTGCGCGCATGACGGACGAGCGCCACCAACCCTTCAGCTCTCAACACACAACGACTAGACTAGCATTTAAAGAATATCAAACACTCGACCATCGTCAAATACAAGACTTCAATAGGAATTGTGACTATCCCTCTTATTGACCTAATTCAAAATTCTAAGATAAATTCGATTACGTAACGGAATAAAATACAATGTCATATTTCGTCATTCGTAACCGACTTTTACTGTATATAAAGATGTATGATTTTCTCTGATATATGTACAGGAAACACTTAATCGAAGCGTGAATATAAACACATACATATATAATATTAACAAACTGAAATGTGATATTCTTCAATCTAATCTAATCATAAAAAATAAGAGGAACATCTCCACAGTTTCAAGTAATGTCAGAAAATAATCTAATAAGGGATAATTTTGAACATGACCTCATGAATACGAAAACCAATAATAATTTCTTGTGCAACATTAATACATAATACTGTTCACGAATAATATTTTTATTTTCTTGTAAAATACCTAATTTCTATAAAAGCAAATTAAGATCTATAAGTTGTTCTTATATGACAATACAAAATACGTATTTTTTGAAACTGAAATAAATGTAGAAAATGTTCGTGAATTTGATTTTTGGTGCAATTGTGGGATCCAACCAAAATTTTGTAGGATTGATTAAGGTCGAATTCACCTAGTGAAGATTCTCTTAACGTTTTTTCAAGAAAAAACCTTGACCCATTCGTTGTCGGTAGTCGGTTCAATACCTCTTTTCACAGAAGGCACCATATGAGGTACTCAATACAAAGAATAAAAAAATATCTTTAAATAATATTGGTTATTAAAAATATGTATGACGCCTTGTATAAATAATAAATGTTATTTAAACTTTGTGCACAATATTACGAAATAAGCTTTGAATAAATATTTGAACAAAATCACTAAGACGAAATAAAAATAAAAAAACGATGTGAATATTGTGCTACACTCGACAAATTAATTCTATAGGCATTAGGTAACAGTTATTGGTTTCGTATTTATTATTAGTGTTGTGTTGTGTAAATCACTATTTTCATGAATCTAGAGTACCCATTGATAGGACAATAAAAATATCTAACGGCTGGACAAAGTACAAACTAAATCAATATGTAGCTAAATAGTATTTTTATCTATGAGAATGACTGGCTGGTTATAGAAAAATATTTTCCCTTTTATACAATAAAACTGTTAACTTAAAATTTTACTTTTCACCATTTTAATTTTGTTATACTTCAATACTCTCTTCTAGTAAACTGCTATCCTGTTATATCCATAATGAAAGTAATGCAAAAAAATATATGTATCGGATCGAGTCGTTTTTATTGACGTAATTTATAAATATGGATGGTCAAAATTATCAGGTGTCACCAGAATAACCACCTGCGTAGCCACCTGTCCAAGTACAGTGGCAACAGTAAGCATTGGATGGTATAAATTGGGGAGACGCGATGGTACAAATTAAAAACATTCTTACTCAAGGGTATTAAATCCGATATATTAAATGAGAATATTCTTATAAAGGACAGTATTCCCCTATTTTAACGTTCAACATATAATATACGTATGTATACATAATTCATACTCGTAGTAAACGTTGAATGAGACGAAACTACTCAGCATTATTACATTATATTCACCGAGCAGGTACCAGGTCCGTTTAGAGCTTTTACAGTGCCTGGGACTTGCGACCCAAGTGTAGGTTTAAAGACCCCTATCTAATACGTGATAAATGCTCACCCTCACCGTCCAAGCACCTCTATCTACCTAACCAAATCTGAAACGAACCTACTAGAGCTGAACTAAGCCCTACAGCCCTGGTACAGCATAGATTTTAGAGACATTTAGCTGTTATTGCTCTCGCACCCACTTCTACCGCGTGCAAATTTACGACGAACCTATTCTAAGTGAGTTATTTATTAAATTCGTAATATTTATTGGCCTTGATAACATGATCTCTGGAAATCCCCTTTGGATCACCCAAACGGGATTTCCAGAGAAAAAGACTTCAATATATCCGTATCTTTGGCCTTTTTCTTGTTCTTAACCCTACTTTGTTACTTTGTGCTCCTATCATAAACTGTTTATAGAATTGAAGTCTTGATTCTAGCCACGTACTTCCAACCTTTTTTGACCGATTGGACTGATCGGTTCCTACCTTGTTGAGATCGGTCGATCGAACTTACGGCCGACAAATTTACATGGAGAATTTTCCGTAACCGTAGAAACGTACTGACCGCCCAACGAATATCTCGGATCGTATGAGGAATATCTTGTATTCTGCCTACCGAGAAACAGACGGTGGCATTTATTGTATTTTGTCCTCAATGTAACCATGCACTCACAGAACTTATCTACTTCATCCAATAGTGCTTAAGTGTCAACCGTGCTGAATTAATAATAATATAATATAATCCTTAGAATCATTTTTATGACTGCTTATAATTAGATATGATATTGAAACTTTGGAATATTGTATGAACCTTTACGTTTATTTTTATTTGAAAACTATAAATACTGGCTTCTGCCATTTTATAGGACCTAATTGGAAGTAAAATTTTGAAAATGAACATTAAAAATCAAGATTGAAATTGTACCTTGAATACTGTACACAAAACATATTGTCAAGCAATAAAACTTACTCCACAAAAGGAGATCAATATTTTTTTTATTTGCCTTAAAAACTCCTTTTGACGATGATTTCATTCAAACATATTAACAAGATAATATTCAAAAAACATTAGTAGGTAACAAAAACATCTTTGTGATATGGTTGATTTCATTAAAAAGTTTTATCAAAGCAAATGTATTATCAGTCAACAGAAATAAACTGTTATCTGCAACATGACGGACATCTGTTTGGAAGCTGGTGTTTGTTTTTATAACAATTTAAACATCAACCATCTGTTACATGAAACTTTAGTTTTGATGAATAAAAAAAGTTTGTATTTAAACTGAGAAAAAATATCCTCTAATATTCATATTAAATTATTATATGCATAAAATTATAGTTATTAAAAAGATAGTTATGTCAAATATCTGGTACATAGTATTTATTAATAGTTTCCTTAACCATACATAGTGTATTAAATAACTTTGGTCACGAAACCCGATAGTGATGGTAAGCCAATATTATATGACTGTCTTCAATAATAACTTCATATTTTATTTTATTTTCGTTATATGTACTTCTGAAATTTTCTAACACAAATTTTCAAAAACTGTGCTGTCATTGAAATACAATAAAATCTTTTTTTTACTATTTTAACTTTTTTAATGACATAGAGGGGGTCTATTTGTTGGGTAGTGATGTATTCAGTATAATTGTACTGAATTGAACTTTGACCAATAAGAATCATACACCAGAATAGGAGCAAATAAACCATCAATGAGGGTGACTGTAAGACTTGAATGGAGCATATTAATTGTTACTTATAAAAATATTAAATGAGCTACATAAGATACTATATGTATATATATATATATATATATATATTTTACTGGTCAGAAGTGCTTGTGAAGGGAGTTGTCAAAGTACATATAAAACCAACCAATCAAAGATAATATTTCTCATAACTTCACAGTCTAATTCATAAATAACACCTAATAATTCGTCTTAATTTCTGATAGTCACATGCCCTACATCGTGATAGTGTTATATATAACAACTAATCTGGACATAACATATAAAAACATGATAAAATATTTCTAATATCTCTTTAAACAAGTTTTAACATACAAAACCCACTTTTTAATAATATACTTGTGCATTAAACAAGGATATAATTATTTAGTAATGTAAATGAGAAAATAAATAATTAGTTTAAATTAAAATTGTTTTGTCAAATATACTATTTTTATAAGATATATTTGGAGTGGATATGATAAAACATTGAAAATTAAAATATTCAAATAGGTATTTCTTATACAATACTTCCAAAAATTTTATTCAAAAGAGTACTCTTACGTAAGTGTAAAATGTATATATGTGTGGGATAAGGGAATAATTATTAAGAACATATTTTAATTAAATATATTGAAATCAAAATATAAATTAACATTCAAACTAGAATTTTCATTGATCAATTTCATTTATAATAAATAATACTTCTATGTATTTTATTTATAGGCTGCTACATTTTAAGCATTAATATTCATGTTTAGTATGTCTGCATAACATTCTTTTAATGGTTTCTTATTTCTAATGTTTAATACATTTCATGCACACATTAATCTACAAGTCTTTCTGTTTCCAACTGTTAAAATACTTACTCAGCACCTGTCTACAATACTACAAAAAATACTACAGTATGAATAAAAAATGTATACTTACATGTTCTTTGTTATTGATGTTTCTACATATGACGGTCCTGATGATCACTCTATTTTGTTTACAAAGTCAGAAGCAGGAAAACATTACGCACTAACACCGGCAATTCAATTATATATAAATGATTATAGAGTAATCGTAAAAACACTGCTGTTAAAATATCTATTACCAATAAATATATATTTTTAAGTAATTGAGAAGCAGTAATCAATAATATTTTCTTTAATGCAATTATTTTAGACCGGAATCTTGTCTATTTTTCGAGATAACTATTCGTAAATACTATTTAAAAAAATCAAAGATAAGTTAAACTGTACTTGACGCACATTCACGCAAATAACATTTTAAAATTTAAACACTACAGAATCTTTTACTTCTGCGCGTATTTGTCAATTTTCTTGCCATTGACACAACCTACGCTTGAAAACAAAAATTATGTAGTTCAACGCCATCTAGCGACCAAATATTTTATGATTTTCTTTAAAGTAACGTTCAGTAATGATGGTTATTTCAAACACATTTAGGAAATAAAAATAAATACCGGTGAAGATTCCAGCATAAAAATTTAAGTATATTTAATGAATCATTAGATATGAGAAATACAAACCTAAACGAAAAAAAAATTGTTGATTAAAAGATTTGTTGATTGGTAGTTTTATTTTGACTGGTAGGTAGTATACTGCTAGAAAAAAAAGAATTTTTGTTTATATTTAAGGTTTATCAATCAGAACCATAAGGCCCACTATCTTATTACTCTCTCTGGACATCTTTATACTGAACTTATTAAACAAACTAAATTTTTAATTACAAATGAAATGAATATTTTTTTTTGGTTTTCTGAGTTTTTGCTATTACAAATAAATACGAATACAATAAAATTTGAAAGCATTTAAAAGCTTCTTATGATTGATTGTTTAAAATATGGCCTTCATCCGTGCAAAAACGTGCACAGTATATTCTGCCAAAAAACTTCTTATACTTTTTAACACGACAAACGTTGTCAGTATTGGTTCACTTATAAGTCATTAAAAATTGACGATGCGTAACGTTACATTGTAAAATCAAAATAAAATCGTAGAAATACATGATGTTGGTAATATATATCTTTTATATTTTTAATAACTTGTATATCTAATGGCTAATATTTTTATCTAATTACTTGTCTTAAAGAGTAATTTTAGCATTTTTAATTAAAACTTGAAGTGCTGAAAAGAGACCAATTTGGAAAAAGTGTTTTCTTAAAAATAAACAAAAGTAAAAAGTAGCTAAAATGCTTTATATGAGATAAATGAGGGTGGTTAAGAGAGTAGATTTGGATTTTTTTTATTATTTTGTTTTCCACATGAACACCACTAACAAATGTCAATATTAAATTGATCAAACGTCATTTCACATATGTCGCTGTCAGCCAATCTTTTGCAATCGTTACTTCGATTTGTTTAATAGATTTAATTAATTCAATACTGATATAATATATAACTATGTTGTTTTTATTCTAAATTAAAAAGTTAACTTAATGATTGTCTAATTTTGTGGGAAAAACGTTTAATCATGACTAGAAAAAAATGTTAAAATTGGAAGTGCTGTTTTTTATTGTAATCTTATCTTATTGATTAGAAAATCTGTATTTGTGTTTTATAATTGAGTGTTATATTTAGTTAAAGTGATGGTGTAAAAACACAAACGAAATGTCTGAATTGATATGTAGCAGCGAAAATGAAGTGTATCCTCTTCACGAATGTGTTTTTATGGGAGACGTGCGCAAATTGTCGTCGTTACTAAGGTTCAATGATGTGACTAGAAAAGATAAACATGGAAACACAGCATTGCACCTAGCTGTTATGCTAGGTCGCAAAGAATGCGTGCAACTTTTATTAGCTCATGGTGCGCCGGTAAAGGTAAAAAACCTTGCAGGATGGTCCCCACTTGCAGAGGCTATCAGCTATGGTGATCGCCAAACTATATCTTCGCTGGTCCGCAAACTGAAACAGCAAGCTCGTGAACAGATGGAAGTCAGAAGACCAGATCTTATAAGGGCTCTATCACAAATACAGAACTTTTATATGGAATTAAAATGGGACTTCCATTCTTGGGTACCCCTTGTGTCCAGAATATTGCCATCCGATGTATGCAAAATTTACAAATCAGGTTCTGGTATTAGATTGGATACAACATTAGTAGACTTTACTGATATGAAATGGGAAAGGGGCGATGTTTCATTTATTTTTAAAGGTGAAAAACCACCAAGTGAGTCACTAACAGTTCTGGATAACAAGGTTAAAGTGTTCCAACATGTCCGCTATGAGGAAACAGAAAATGAAATAGAGGATGAAGTGGATCTGCTCATGTCAAGTGATATACTTGCTGCACAAATGTCAACTAAAGGCATCTCATTTTCTAGGGCTCAGTCCGGCTGGATCTTTCGTGAGGACAGAAAGGAGACTGTTGCTGGTTTATATAAAAGTAATATCTATACTATTTCAGGTCTTGTTTTAGAGTCACGAAAGAGAAGAGAACATCTATCAACGGATGATTTGCAAAAAAATAAAGCAATTATAGAAAGCTTAACTAAAGGTAACACGCAAAACTTGGACACCAACGGTGAGCCAGTGAGGAGAGCATCTCTGAACCCTCCACCTGAGAGTAGTATTGACTGGGAAACATACATATCATCATCCCCCGGAGAGTACCCTGGTCTAGGAAGGGAGCTTGTGTACAAAGAATCATCCAGGAATTTCCGAGCCACTATTGCTATGAGTGATGATTTTCCTCTGAGTGTTGACATGCTTTTAAATGTCCTTGAAGTGATAGCACCTTTTAAACACTTTGCAAAATTACGTCAATTTGTAGCAATGAAACTGCCTAAGGGTTTTCCAGTAAAAATAGACATACCCATCCTTCCGACTGTAACTGCAAAAATTACATTTCAAAAATTCGAATTTCGTGATAATATTCCCGATGAGTTATTTGTGATACCTGAAGACTATGTAGAAGATCCATTACGTTTCCCTGATTTATGACGCTTTGATATTCTAATGCTGTTTCAAATTAGTGAAAGACCAATTTGGCAAAGTGAAGTGAAATGTTGTTGTGCATGTTGCGCTCTCGGTAATGAGTACACCAGATCGGCACATGGTCTTCTCACTATTGAGATCCCCATGTTGTTTGGCCTCGGTAGTTCTTATTCCAGCCACTACATCATCCTTGTTGAGTAGCTAAATTTTAGTATAAATTTGTAAATTTAATAGCATGTTGTTTTTATTGTGTTAGAGTAAAGTAGGTAATTTATAACTATTAGTTTATTTATTTCTTTTATAAAGACTATAAAAAAAAAATAACAAAATGTGTGTTTTGTATTAAATTGATGTTTAAGTGTGTATGTATATTTTGTGAATGTAATTTATGTGTGAGCAAATAATTCTGTGTATATTTTCATATTTTTATTTGAAACCTTCCAAATATTTTCTTTTTTTATTTGAAGTAATTTGTTTAATATATTTTAAATTTACTGGATTAAATGGTTTTAATTTAATTTTCTATTAATTAATTTATATTAAGGTGTTCTATTTATATGTGATTTTATTTATCAAAGTATGTAAAATAGTTAAATTTAGAACATATAATGTCACCCCAATTTCAAAAGGCCCTAATTTGTTGCAACTTACTTTTATTGGCCTATTTGTCACATGTAAAAGGAATACATTATGGAAAAGTTTCTTTAATAATTTTGCACTACTGTACTATTGGATATGAAGATAGTTACTTTTGATGTGGATATTGAATGTCATGACAATGTGTTATTATTAGATACAGTAGGTTATATAATATCAGTAGTAATAACTTCTTAGTATTAGCATCCTAAATGGGTTTTTAAATTTTTAACCCAGACATTTCAAAGTCCTTGTGCCTTCAGAATTTATCTGTAGGGTATTTACACATGAAATACAACTTTGGAGACGGTAACTTTTTAGGACATTCCCCTTTTAGAATATATCTGTAGATACATTTATATGGTTAATGTGAGTGTCTATGATTAAATTTACACATAATATAATCAAATGCATCTTAATGATTTGACAATAATTATGTTCCCTACCAACAAATGTATTATTCTTTGTTGCTCATGAAAGAAATTTGTGTTTAGAAGGTAACATTTCATGTATTGTGAATCCATTGGTTTTAAGAATTTTGGAATGTTTAAATAAATTGTAATAAACAAATGAAATGGAAGTGACATATTTTCAATTATCTCCTTTTAAGGCTACGCTATTTTCTTAAAATAATGACAAAATTCAATTTCACATATTAATATATATTTTTTTTAAAAGATCCTTGGAAGGCTTGATTCGTGAAATAAATAATCAAAACTTTCTCTTTCGCCGTCTTGTACAACATTATACAATACTAGGTGCCCGCCCCAGCTTCGCAGGAGTACTTTACAAAAAATATATAATAGCCTACTTTGAGCTTAATGATTGAGTTAAATCAAGACAAACAAAAAATTTCATCTTTCTTCATTAACATATTTTAAGTTTGAACTTAGATTTTTTTTTTATGTTAATAATATTTTTTAATAATATAAAATTACAAAAATTTTGTATAGGTACAACAAAATGTTAAAAGGTGAGCTATCTTGTGGATTCAATTTTGAGAATTATTGAACTTATGATAACTTTTAAAAGTGTACAACCGAATTAAATAATTCAAAAAGTAATTTACAGACACTGATATAAGTTTCAAAATGAAGTAATTTATTTTAGTAAGACTATATACCGTAATTATATAAATAGCTTACCTACAAACGCTGTGTGAATGAAAATTTTTAAAAGTAGTAAAATATATAATATGTTATCCTTCAGAGATAGACATATGCCATCGCGGACTTTTCTGTAGACCTATCTAAAATACATAATTCCATCATACATTGTTTTGTAATATCTCAAAGGGTTTTCGCTAAAAGCTGACAGACGGTTCATTTTTACCCAACATTTTTAACAAATATCGTTAACACAACTCGTTAATTGTGTGTACAACACAAATCAATACGAAATCATAACAAATTATACATAAAAACCTTCCTCGACAATCACGCTATCGAGTGGTGAAAACTGCTTGATAATCGGTACAGTAGTTTTTCTGTTTATTGCGAACAGACAGACAAACAGATGCTGCGGGGGACTTTGTATTATAATATCTATTGATTTGTGTCTATTACTAGTACCTACTTCATAATTTATTTCTTTGTTTTTGAAGTGAAACGTTTTACTCTTTGTTCATGATACAGGCTTAGCCTAGTATGGACATCAGAGTTTATTGTAAACATGTAAATGGATATATTAAATAAATATTTTATTATGACACGACTTCTAACAAGGTTGCACTAAACGTTTATAGCTCCTGGGTCCTGGAAGGAGGGCAGGACTGCAGAAAGGAATACGTGACACTGAAATGTTAATAAAAAGTGTCTTAAAGAAATGTGAAAAACTCCTTAAATTCAATTATTCCCCTTCCTGTTTTCATTCCAAGATTAACAAGTTTGACTTCTTTCGCAGGGAAGGACTCCACGCATATTTTTTTAATGATACTAGTCTATTAATCTAAAATTATAATGAGCATTATTAAATACTTTTTATATACCTCAAACAATGATTTTTTCTCGGTCTTTGTCTATGTATTTATTTTATTTTGAGATTTTATCAAACGCAACTGCCTTTTTTTCCGATGCGTTTTCTAGTATTTAAATTAAGATAATATAGGTAATCAATAATGGCTTTAAATAAGTACTGGTTCAGATGTTCCATATATTAATATTATGTAACATTGTATTATATATGCATAAAATTGTATGATATTTTTATCCTAGCGAGATATTAAGTATTATATTTTAAGTATTCAGAAAGAGATCTATATTAAGCGGTAAGATAGCTTTGCTGCATATATGTATAATTCTTTTAAAACACACTTACGTACGCGATGTGCAACAAAATATTTTATATCATGTAAATCGTTAGCTCTTCAAACAGTTATAAAACCTAGAATCTTCCAAACGATAGCAAACATCGTCACAATAAATTACATACAACAAAATCATAAGATTAATGTAACAAATAAAAACCATATTATTATCATTCATGTATTTGAGTTTAACATTGACGAAGATTTATAAATACCTACTAGTTACTTGTATATAAAGAGCATTAGGTACTAACATCACATTTTTTTTTATGTTTACCTAAATAGGTATATTTATTTTTCAATAGTAATATATAGGGGTGCTCTAATAATGAAAATCTTTCTCCTAAATGTTATTAGAAATTTAGTTGAATATATTATTAATAAATAAATGAAAAACACAGCAGAATAAAAATAAATATATTTCAGATAATGAGTAAAATTCAAAACTTGAAATATTGTTTCAAATACAATATAACTCGAATACGTCAAATGGTGGTATCATTTCAGTCTTTCATAAAACATAAGTATATAATGTTTCATATAAGTCAATGTGTATGTGTTTATCTCAGCGACCGTCGAGGGATCACCGACGGCAGTTGTTGTGGTTCTGATGTTTCCATTCCGAGAGTTACCACCCGCAGAGATATAGAAGAACGGCGAGCTATACAAAATATATTATTATAGAGACGAAACTTCTCATATTGGCATGGATTGAATGGAAAAGAGCTTCAACTGTGCCTGGGACTTGCGACCCAAGTATAGGTTTAAAGGCCCTATCTAACTTGCGTTAAACGCTCACCTCCACCGTCCAAGCTCCACTCTTTACCTCACCAAATTTATCAAATATAAACATTTTGTTGAATTACGCGTTTTTTTCAAACTTTTAATTACTTAACCCAGTCCATGAGTTTTATTTATAATGTACAGTATTTTCGGAATCGATGTTCAAATAATAATGAGGTTTCTAAAAATAATTTACAATACATAATATTTTAAATAAAATTTACCTTGTTCACGTATGTCATCAATCAACTGAAAAACAAACGAAATTTATTATTATTATTATTATTATTTGGTAAATGTTTTTACGGCTCTGGATACGAGTCCTTTTGAGCCAAAACGAAATTTATTAGCTTGAATTTGCTTAGGTGGTAGAGCCTAGCTGTGGTTAAGTTACTACAGCTCGAACATGGGCTGGCTCAACCGGGGAAGTACCACCCTCTCACAGAAGATCGGCGTGAAGTAATCAGTAATTACTGCGTTTCGTCCGATGAGTGAGAGAGCCGGTTGCCCTTTCCCTTTTCCCAACCTTTCCTAGTATTTCCTTATTCCCACCCTTCCCTATCCCTAAAACGAAAAGGTTGGCAACGTATCCGCAACAAATATGTTGCGGATGTCCATGGGCGACGGTAACCACCTTACATCAAGTGGACCGTCTGTTCGTTTGCCACATAACATAACATAAAAAAAGTCAAATATATGTAATGATCCCTACTAATATTATAAATACGAAAGTAACTCTGTCTGTCTGTCTGTTACGCTTTCACGCCTAAACCACTGAACTGATTTTAATGATATTTGGTACAGACATAGAGTTGACCTTGAGAAAGAACATAGTATAGTTTTCATCTCAAACTTTTGAAAAGTTCTCTTGGAAACGCGATATAATCGAAAACCACGCGGGCGAAGCTGCGGGCGGAAAGCTAGTAGTAAATAAATTTATTTTGTTTCCATAACTCTTCTTCTATTTGTATGTATTTCTTCTTCTATTTCTATTATAATGACTAGTACATCTCACTGACCGCGTGTTCCTGTACTTTCGGTGCTAACATTCTCCTGAAGGCCGCCAGTCGTCTTGTGTGTCCGGTGGCGACACTCACGCCGCTGCCGCTAGATGTCGCGGATGATGAGAATACACTCTCTACAATATTTTTTTTTTATTTATTTAAAAGGTACGTCAACGTCACACATATTCGGCACACATAAACAACAGATATATTAGAAAAAAAATCTAGGACCTCATATGAGTGACAATTACAGATGGAACCAACATTCAACAATATAAACGTATTAATGTTTTTAAACGATGATAAAAAGTTTTAAAGGTGACCATTATATGTAAGTACTTTTTTTATTAATAATATGTAATATTATGAAATGCTATATTCTACTGATGGATATTTTGATCCCTTGAAAGATTTTTCTTATGAAGCTTTAATGTAATGGCGTTTAATTAAAAAAATATATTTGTTTGTAGTAAAACAAATAAGCTATTGAATTATATTATACCTTCAACTACAGCAGGCCGTTCCTTCGCTGCCGATTGGGCATCTGCTATCATTCTGAAAACAACACCGCTTACGTTATTTTGCTTTATAGAAACCGTTGTTAATTGTTAGGAAGGTGTTAATTAAAACGATTAAATTGAATTAGTTTTCAAATAAAAGTTGATACTTAAATGTTGCCATAAGCCATTACAAAATTACAACAGTTCAATTATGAGAAGATATAAAAATAATTCAAAGGATTACAGTATATTATGATAAGTACGGCACGGATGGCGTTACTTGATACACGTATGACGTAGCTATAGCCGTCTGACATCAACATTTATATGTAATGTTCCGTATATACGTAATGTTTTATTTATTTCATACTTCTGTACTATTGTATCAAGTCGTCTCTGGTGCGGCGCTAGTAGCGTGTGTATCCTCCTCGCGGCCAACATGGCGGCCAGCTGAGACGCGGCGTCCGATCCACCCACCGCCTCAGATAAAGACACCAGCGCGTTGTACGCCGCCTCGCCGTAGTTACGTACCCACAGCGATAGCTGGAAATAGATAGGGTCCTTCATTATAATGCATATTTATTATAAATGTTATTTGTGTATTAAAGGAATCATTCAATATTTACATATTATCTTTTTTGAAGGGATTATCCGTATTATAATTTATATTTAATCAAATCACATATAGTTATAATATAACGTAAAATTTTCAGTATTCTAATAAATTCATGTATACCTGAAATATTCGCCAATCGTCCGCGCCCTCTACAAGTTTCTTGGCTCTGCGAGCGTTCGTCTTAACGATTTCATGCGCCTTTAGCAGTCGACTCTCTTGTTTCTCCAATCTATCTCTTACACTCTCCAACTCACTCTCACAATCTGATCTGTAAAAATAAAAGAAATCAAGAGATTTAAGACTACAATATTAATTATTATATTAAGTAAATATTTTATTTTATATTTACTCTCTAGCTGTTAACTGTTTGCATTTATCGCTAAGCATTGTCAGACGGGAACTTAGCTCTGAGACAGCTTGTTCAGATTCAGCGATCCTAGCATTCAGTTTTTTAAGTTCATCCCTCTTGGCATAGTAAGAAGTGTTGAGATCTGCCACTTCCTCCATTTCCGGGGCTAAAAAATTAAATTAAAAATCTTAAATCACAAATATTGATTTTTCATTTTCTTAAGGAATATATATTTTCTTAAGGAAACATTCAAAATCTGTGATATAATTTATTATCTGTGGCAGTATCACTGTGTTCACATTAGACTGTATAATTATATTTGTGTGAGTCAGTCTAAAAGTTCGGGACACAACCACATATGCATACATTGCTAGTAGCGTATTGTGTTTGTGTGAGTCCCTCGTAATGTTCGGGACACACTCACACATGCATACATTGCTAGTAGCGTATTGTGTTTGTGTGAGTCCCACGTAATGTTC